TTGTTGGAGTTGTGGCAATCCCAAAACTTACATTTTCATATTTTGGAGAGGAATGCTAAGAGTTTGGAAGTGAAATAGTTAAATTAGTGAATTAATGAACTATGCATAGCCATCATATCCCCACATACTTTTTTTTGTAATTATAAGTCCTACTACTAGCGGATCAAGAAATGCACATTTACCTTTTAACAGCAGCTAAAATGTCCGTAAGTTACCAACAAAAGCAAAAACATAGTAACCAGTGGCAGAGATATATTAGCTGCTAAGCATATGGGATATTGTGTATATGGTTAAATTAACAAATTTAATTGCAAGAACAAGTATTCAGGTGAACAGTTTTATTGAAAAATGCTATGTGACATCTTTCATTGATCTGCAGGCCATCCTTGGGTGGTCTCCTTACATCATCATATAGGCAGCACCAAGAGTCTTTGGCAGCGGAAAGAGAGAGGAGACGTCAGGAGAGGGAGGAGAGGCTGCAAAGGATAGAGCGTGAAGAGAGAAATAAATTCAAGTAAGAGGAACATTCTGTGATGATTTCTTGTCTTTCTATAATAGAATTTAAAAATAACTTGCTGCATAGCTCCTATATGTAATATTCTAGCTATCTGTATATATGATAATATCTCTACTTTGATCTGTGTTTGCATTTCAAAGGAAGCTGGGAATCATGTCACCTGATAAACCACACTATCTTGGGTATTACCCCAGTTTCTTTCCTACAGCCCATACATTGTATACAATGAAAGGATTTTTTATAAAGTCTTTATCATTTTGATACATTTAAATAATTGTCAACCTTATCAGAGTTGATTGAGATGTAGCACCTTTTCTTTATAGTTTTCACTTCACTTTCAGCTCACTTAGGCCGATTAGATCATGTCAAGTATTGAAAGAACTGTTCCTGACTGTATAAGTTTGAATGCATTATTTGAAATTATATAACTCAAAAGCCTTTGAAGTAAGAATACAGGAAAAAACTGTACAGATAAGGAATTAGCAGAACTTCCAAAAATATTTACATGCTGATGATGTTTTTCAATGAGTTTTGCTTAGCAGAATATTCACTATTATACATGTAAGATTAAAGATGTTTCATTAGTGAGACACACTTTTCTTTAAAAGATAATTTGTAAGATTGTCTAACATGGTGTTGGATTACACCTTTCATAATTTCAAAAATAGTTAGCTGTAATGAAACCAGGGCCCAAGTATCATTTGCGGAGCCCAATACAAACTTACTACATGGCTCCCCTCCCACACACATCATAATTCATTTGCAAGTCACGTGATTTCTATTTATAGCCATTCATTTGGATCTCTAAAGCAGACCAGAAGCACACACTTCCTCAATCCCTCATTATTATTGGAGAGTTGCCCCACCTGCCAAAACCAAACAAACCAACAAAGAACAACAACCCTGTAACAGTAAGACTGTTGTAAATAATAGCTTACAGGAAAAGTTTCCTTGAAAATCAAACACTCTTCAAACAAAATGAAACCACTACTAGTACAGAGCATGCTAATTTTTTATACACAAGAAACTAGGTCAATAGGAAACTTCTTTGGCTGCACCTGGCTGATAGGCAACATCTCCCTACCTATGTGACCCCTGTTTGCACCCAAGACTCTCTGACACCCCTAGAACTGTTAATTAGCTCTATACTTTGAGTGATGCTTGCTATTTCAATTACAAACTACTTTAAAAACTCAAACATCACATTAGCTTTTCCCTTTATTTGGTATGATACCTCACCATTGATATTCCAACAAAGTATATCTTTCCCTCAACCCCATGTTTGGGCCCTGAGTTAAACAGATAAGGTGGATAACTTTGTCAATAACGGAGAAGTCAGTACAGTCATAAATAATGTTTACTGGCATATATTTTAGGCTGAAGAGGCTCCCTCATACCATGAGTTAGTTCTTAGTTCTCAGTGAGGTAGTATACCTAATGTGTATGTAGAAAGAATTTGTTTATATGGAGGAACAGCCAGTTATGTGAACCCCCACTTAGAGTCTGAAGTAAAGTAGCCCACACACAGATTTACCATCTCAGTGAGAACTAGGCTAACATGGCATTATTCATGTTACCTTCTAAAAGGACCTCAATTGCGTTTTACCTGTGATACTTCATGATACAAGCATCTGAATGTTAATGGCTGTCAGGCATATGACGGCTGTAGTCTTGAACATATTTTGATACCTTTCACAAGACAAACTCTGGGTAGATCCCATCTCAGGATCTAAATAGGCATGGCTTTAAGCACAGTTTTGAGCCACGTGATTGCAGCTAGCTAGGTCTCTTTCAAAAAAATCTGGTTTCTGAATCTCAGATTGGCCTCCCCTGTTTTTTTGTTTTTTTGTTTTTTTTTTTTTTTTTTTGTTAATTTTGTTTTGTTACTGAAATAATAGACTTGCCCTTTGAAGCTGTTATTTGTCCCAATTTTCAGCAGGCAAAGGACATGGAGAGGGAAAAGAACTATTCCCTGTACCATGATCACAGTTTTCTCCCACATAAATGCACATCCTTCCTGTGGCAATTGCTTTGGAAAAAAAGAACAGAGTGGCCATCATAAGCACATGATGAAAAACTTCCATGAAGTCACATCTGATTTGATCTTAGCTAGGAGGTGAAGTCACTCTTATACTGAAGTCAGGATTTGAATATCTCTGCTGGAAATAAATTGGAGCTTAGACTACTACCAACCTGGACCAGCATAGGAGCAAACATGGAGGCAGTGGCAATCAAACTGGGAAAGATGAAGGGAATTTTAGTTTTTCCAGTAATTTCAAGAAATTTAAATTATACCAATCAAATATGCCAAAGAACTAGAGCAGATGCTCAAGTCTCCCATTTAACTGTGATTTAAAATGTTTGACTAGATCATTTGATCAGTTCTCCATACTTGAGATTGCAAGAAAGTAGATCTCTAGATGACTTCAACTCTCAGCATTCCAAAGCACTGGTCATAATGGCAGAGGTTTCTTAGGGTAGCAGCTGCAGTATCTGACATATCATACATGTCTTTGATTAAGGAATAACTTAATTTTAGAATTTGCTTTGATTAATCTTGCTTCTTTTCCTTTTTGGTTTGTTTTACTTTCCTGTTGTTAACTTTCCCTGTAACTTTATTCACCTCTGTTTTATAGTCGTAATTATCTAGACAAAAGAGAAGAGCTAAGACAAGCAAGAGAAGAGAGGTTTGTACCTACCACTGCTTTTGCTGCTTTACATTTCTCATGTTTTTTTAAGAAGTTCCTGATTTTGTAAATATGCTTCTAACTAGACTTGCAAAGAATGGCTTAATTCAGCAATGCACACAAAATAGTGCTATTTCACTCTAATAAGCACAGCCACCAGGGGAGAATATTTATTATTAAGTGCTTGGTATATAACAGTTGGATTGCTTTTATAAAGAGATCCTAGGTTCTGAAACTGTGGGCCAGGAACCATGTCACAGGATACATGCAGGGTAGAGGATTGAAGTCGTGGTGTACCTCAATGCTGCTGATAGGCAGGTAGTGATAGGACCCCTAGCTACAAGCAGTACCTACAAAGAAGAGACTTCACTTTCATCCTTCAGTTCAAGGTCAGAACAACTAGGTAGTTAGTCTAAATTGACAGATATGAGAATAAGAGTTACAGGTGTTAGGAGAACATGACATTATGCATGATAAAAAAAATTAGTATTAATTGACCTAGATCTTTTCATTTTGTGCTTTACCTGAGAATCTGCATAAATTCAACTTACAAGTAAATGGTTACTCTGCAATTGGAAAGGACATGATAGGCACTGTAAAGTTTTGAGGGGAAACCCAAGTTCAAAACATTTGATAAATATTGATATCAATAGAAAATAAACCAAGTTTATTTGTCCAATTATTTGTTGAAATATTACAAGTATTACCAAAATTTGTATAGTTTATTTTAGAAAAAAATAGACTTTAGGAAGACCTGAAGTTCTTTCTCAGAAGAAGCACTGAGAAAGTGAGTGAAATCCATAAACTTTTTTTCACAACAATGTCACTATGGGCTTTAGTAAAATCAGAATTTTACCGTAAAACTGCAATTCTGAAAGCACCTTTGAATTGACTTCAGTTGGATGCCTTTGCTTTCAAGCCATGGGTTCCAGAAATTGAAGCCATGGGAGAGCCGGTGTGGTGTAGTGGTTAAGAGCATGGGACTGGGACTCAGACTATTTGGGTTCTATTCCCCACTCAGCCATGGAGCCAACTGGGGGACTTTAGGCCAGTCACAGACTCTCAGCCCAACCAACCTCACAGGATTGTTGTTGTGGGGATAAGATGGAGGAGGAGAATGATGTAAGCTGCCTTGAGCCCTTTGTAGGAAAAAGGAAGGATATAAATTGAAAAATAAATAAATAAATAAATAAATTTCTAGAAAACTGAAAATGTTCTTCATTTATTGTGTGGCAGATGTGCATCTTTCTCCATTTAAGCTTCATTCCTAGTATTAAATGGCTGCTGAGGATGAAGAAGACTTTAATTTTTAATTTTAAAATCCCAGTTTTAATTAGGGAGCTTGTCTACAAATGTGAAAAATATGCATATAGTGTCAGCTTTCTCACCATTCAATTTCTCTTTCCATTATGTTAGAAATACACACTGAAACAGAGCTAGCTGCTGTTGCAAATTACACTAACAAGGTTTTTGGGGGGGGTGGCTTTGTCATTAGAGCTTAAAGTATTCAGTGCAATGTGACATGTAATGAAACCTGTTGACATATATTGTAAATAACCCCGCCTTCTTGTGCCAATCCTAGTTAATAATATTTTGTTAAAATGTGTTACTGCTTTTTAAGAAATAGGATTTGTAACCACACCACATTCCACTAAATATTGTTCTGCACAACCAATTCTTACTCTTCTGTAGATTCACTGGACTAGGTATGGCCAAACTTTTTGAAGAAGAGTATGGTAGTTGGTGAGCATGATAGCTGAAGAATTCAATGTGGTACTAGGAAAAGGCTGGAATGTGACTCTGCATCACTTTGAGAAGTCCAGGTGTATTAACCTATATTGGCCAGATTGTGCTTACAGAAATGAGTTTGGAAATGATCACAGAGAGATAACAGCAGACATAACAAATAAATTCTTGGAGCTCCAGTGGGCTGGAAGCCTCAGGTACTAATCATAAATGTACAGAGTGAACACAGGAGTAATGACTGCATCCAGGCCCAGTGATTTGCCCTGTAAGTTATTTTCTGGTGCAGAATCAAGGGAACTATTAAAGGAAAGACAAAAGAGACCTGTTCCTCTTAATAACCAAAGTACTTGTTTCTATGGTACATTCAAGTCTGAGTTCTTAAATAGTTTCCATGCAGCTGTATAAAGGCTGACATCTCCAGCTATTTTTGGCATTGACTCACTGAAGTCATTTGGCATCAATGCCAAATAAATTAACAGAAGACAAATGAACTGGCATTTTCTTCAGTACCTTTTTTAAGCAGGACCTCTCCTCTTTACTGTGAAATATTGGCCACATTGTAAGTATGTCTCTAGAGTTCTTTTAAATGGGAAAGCAAACTTTTCCCACTTTAAAAAGAAGAAACTCTACCAGTAAAGTCTCCTGCACAAGTTTCATTGAAATAAATTGAATTTTCATGTGAGCATAAGCATTGCATGAACATCAAAGAAAGTGTTCACAACAGAAATTAGACATCAATTTTTTCTTATTATCCATATTTTAAAGGTAAGGCATTAAAAACAGAATCTATGTACCTGTTTATAGGTTTTAAAAATGAGACTATGCTGTTTGAAAAATAGAGCACAAGGTGTGACCATGTTGCAGGGCAAGGCATACTGTACATAGTTTATACAGATATTGATTGCCTTAATTTGACCAAATTTTGCCTGTGAGGCATATGAGGCCTACCAATTTTGGAGACAGAGTGTTCCTTTAGGATCTTACCCTGACCTTCAGCTGGCTGTTGGGAAGGGAAAAGGAGCCCAAGAGAGGTGGGAAATCTTGAATTGGAAGATTCTCAAAGCACAACTACAAACAATTCCATCAAGAAAAAAGTGTAGAAGAAAGCAGAGAAAGCCTGCATGGCTCCACAAAAGGTTAAGTGACAGCCTAAAAGAAAAAAAAGAACATGGAAGTGGAAGCAGCGTCAGGCCCCGAAGGAAGAGTATAAACAAATAGCAAGGCATTGCAGGGACGGCATCAGGAAGGCTAAAGCAGGAAATGAACTGAGAATAGCAAGGGCTGCTAAGAACAACAAAAAAGCCATCTTCAGATACATCCAAAACAAAAGACATGTGAACAGGAAAGGTGTCCAGCTACTTAAAGTGGATGGCAGAGTGATATTACATGACAAGGAAAAGGCGGAGGTACTCAATTCCTACTTCAACTCAGTCTTATCCCACAAGAAAATCTACAACCAAGAGGAAGTAAAAGTTGAAAGCAAGAGATGACAGTCTAATATTGACAGACAAATAGTCAAAGAATACCTAGATTAAATAAACACATTCAAATCTCCAGGGCTTGATGATCTCCATCCCAGAGTCATAAAAGAGCTAGTGGAAGAACCACATGCTATTATGTTCGATAAATCTGGGAAAACAGGAGAAGTGCCAGACGACTGGAGAAGGGCTAAGGTTGTCCCTTTCTTCAAAAAGCAGGGGAAAGATGAACTACAGACCTGTTAGTCTGACATCAGTCACTGGAAAAATTCTGGAGCAAATTATTAAAAAATCAGTCTGCAAACATCCTGAAGAATACGAGGTAATTAATAGAAGCCAGCATCAATTTATCAAAAATAAATTACATCAGACTAATTTAATCTCACTTTTTACTGGGTAACCTCCCAAATGGACAAAGGAAACACTGTGGACATAATCAACCTCAACATTAGCAAAGCTTTCGACATAGTGCCACACAACATTCTGATGAAAAAATTAGCAATAACTGGACTAGACAGAAAAGCTATTCAGTGGATCCAAAATTGGCTGCTGAATTGGACACAAAGAGTGCTCAACAATAGCACCTTCTCAAACTGGTGGAAGGTATCTAAAGGGATGCCACAGGGTTCAGTCCTGGGCCCAGTGCTCTTCAACATCTTTATTAATGATTTAGATGAGGAAGTATGAGAAAAGATAATCAGATTTGCAGACAATACAAAACTGGATGGAGTAGCAAACACCCTAGAAGGCAGAATCCAGGATAAACTTGAACTCTGGGCTGAAATCAACAGAATGAGATTCAAGAAGGGCACATGCCAAGTTCTCCACCTAGGAGAAAGAAATCAAATTCATTGATACACAATGGGGAATGTGTGGCTCAACAGAACTGAAAAAGAAAAAGACCTGGGAATAATTTTTATTTATTTATTTATTTATTTATTTATTTATTTATTAAAACATTTCTATGTCGCCCCTTGCCAAGGCCTCGGGGCGGCTTACAACATCGAATACGAAATACATTAAAACAATGACAATTAAAATATATACAGTAAAATAAAATAAGCCGCCCTGGCCGAATAAAATTCAATAATATTAACATTTAAAATGCTGCATAAATAAAAAGGTCTTCGCCTGGCGCCGAAAAACGACGACGGCGCCAGGCGGACCTCTCTGGGGAGCGCATTCCATAACTTAGGCGCCACCGCTGAGAAAGCCCTCCAATAATTGTGGACAACAGGATAAATATAGGCCAATAATGCAATGCAGCTTCCAAAATGGCAATTGCTATTTTGGGATGCATTAACAGAAATATTCACCATTGCTCTCATTTCACATGCTAGTAAAGTTATGCTCAAAATCCTACAAGCTAGGCTCCAGCAGTATGTGGACCGAGAACTACCAGAAGTACAGGCAGGGTTTCAAAGAGGCAGAGGAACTAGAGATCAAATTGCCAACATATGCTGGATCATGGAGAAAGCCAGGGAGTTCCAGAAAAACATCTACTTCTGCTTCATTGACTATGCTAAAGCCATTGATTGTGTGGATCACAACAAATTGTGGCAAGTTCTTAAAGAAATGGGAATACCAGACCATCTTATTTGTCTCTTGAGAAACCTATATTTGAGAAACCTATAACCATTCTCCCCAAAGCAGGACTGGGGAGATCCGCATAGGAGATTAGATGAGGCTGGGGACTTAGGGGCACAGATTAGAGTCACCCCCCTTGAAGTCAAGGGGCTCCTCAGGGCATTGGACGTTACAAAGACGCCAGGCCCT